GTGGTGGTGGTGGTGGTGGTGGTGGTAGGAATGACTTGAGGGCAGTTTGGAAGCAGAGATGCCCAGTCAGTAAAATTCGGGTGTGGAGCATGCGTTCCAGGTGGCAGGATACGTAAGCCGGTTAAACGGCATTATCGATTTCCTTCGGCACCGTACCGACTTCGGAATTACTAGTGAAAATGATGCAGTGAAGGCGATGATGGTCCACAGAGCGAATTTGAACCAAGATTGTGCGTTGACATTAAGGACACGTGGGAATGGATAAGGTTGTTGGCAGTGTTGCTCCTCGGTACCTTTTATTTATGGCTTCCTTTACTCGGTTGGCTTCAACAACTGGTACCCAAGTCTTTATGGCAGTTCGCAACAATCGTTGATCTTGTGCGGTTTACCGGAGTTCCCGGTTGACCCCGAGGAGTTTTTTTCCAACGTCCAGTTGCTTAGGATACCTAGCAGCGTCATCGCCGAACAATTGTCCCGACAGAGCTTATCTGGAATAGCCACTGTAGCTGATTCATCAAAACTGAATCCGCCTCAGCAAATATGAAAGTGCTCAGCATGCATTGATTCCAAAACCCGACTGTACGAGCACCGTTCTTGTCATCTGACATTTATTATCACCCAAATTGAGCTTGGGCAACGGTGGCTCGGCTCTATCACGTGATTTTGGTAGACTGTCCGGGTCTCCGAAATAAGGAGATGTGCTGTGTACACGGTCGTGTACAACATCAATAGGGTGTTGGGAAGGATGTCACAATGATTCTACAAGCAGAAAGGGCGTGACTAGTTCCAGACCAAGAACTGTACCGAACAACGCCTACTTAGATAAGTAGTCAGTTCTAGATACTTCGGTCATATGCCATACCCTTACCGAGGACTGACGCCCATTGAAGGTTTGACCGACTGCGGCCTGCGATCTCGTCTTCGAAACACTGCTTCGCAGCAGTGGGGCGATCAGTATCATTATCATTTTTTGGACTCGGCTTCAGTCTACAGTTTAAAGGACGACGATAATACAGGGGTTGAACCCCGATTCCTGAAGTTGGGGGCTAGGAAGATATCGTTTATGGTTGCACGGTATTTCTAGAGTCCACATGAGCCCCTGAAATAATGTTTTAAGTAACGAGAAAACGAACGAATGACGCAGCAACGATTGTCACCGATCTACTGGCCTCCTTTTCACTTGTAAAGATGGCGCAAACGTGTGTGGTCCCTCTAAGACTTGAAGCAGCCGCGTTTTTATCTAGAGAACCAAATTTACAAGAGTTTCTGGTCCAACATGGCATTTGAAAATAATAGAATGGAAAGGGGGCAGTACATGGACTGCGAGTCCTGTTATCACACTCACGCCCTTCTTCTGCGTTCAGTCGACGCTACGTTTGCGAAAACAGTTAGGCGGTGAGCATAGACTTAAGGCCTAGGTGAACCCTTAAATTAAATTAACCCAAAATGTCCTCGAAACATGATGAATATAGCAAAATTCCTACTTCAAACGTTGCGATGAAGTTGTGCTGCGAGTTATAGGAAAATATCACTCGAGTAGGAACAAATAACCCTCGGTTTGGATACCTCAAGGCTGCATTAAACTGGTTCAGTTGCGGTTGGCAAAGACGATGCGAACTAAGATAAAAGATGACTTCGCGACTGAGAAATGATGCCCTGGTCTACGGTCTTTCATTCGATACTTCAAAAACACCATCATATCTTCCCATACTTCCTACAGGTCGCGGGGGGTGGATAATGATGAATGTAGATCCTCGTGATCCCGTCTAAATAAAAATAATCCGCTTGGTGAAGGCAGAGCTAAAGGGCGGACGCAGTTTTAAAAAGCCAGAATAATCGCTAACGACATCGAGTAACAAAGTCGTCGTCGTTACAGAAGTGGAATGAATGCACATTCCAAAGACGGGGGAAAGCAGACGTACATACCAGGGACTTTGTGATAAATCGAATGTAGGCCTCGATGTCCAATTTATCCAGCTGATCAACAATGTAGGCGCTGGCAACAGCACTGAAAACAAAACGCGCATCGAACTCGTGGCAGAGGAGGCTCGCATTGATAAAGTTGGCGTTTTCGGACTGAAGGGCCAGGATGCCTGCCATCACTGCGTCGCGGTTCACGCGCGACAAATCGTCGCCCAATATGAGGAGGGTATTCAGAGCCGAGTAAGTCATGGTTACGTGGCTGGCATCGTATGGCAGAGGTTGAGTGTGTTTTGTCTCACCGTCAAGGTTGAGGGGTGCGCCAATGAAAGTGGAACCCCGAAATCCGCAACGGCTGTCTCCGAAGGCTATTGTGTCCGTAACGAATTGATAGAGTAGACTGTATAAGAATCTGCAAGTTGAGTTTACATGGCGCAGTTTGTGTTCGAAAAGAAACAGTTCAATGTTCCCTTCATAATTAAGAACCGAAGTTACTCCGATTTCTGATATTTGGTGTCTTGTATAAGAATTATGGAGACCAATGTTTTTTACTTACTTGACAAGCAATTGGTTTTAAAGTATCCCTTATACCGTATGTACAGATATGAAAAGGCTACAATTATTCAAGTTACTTGTGCCCCTGAAACAGGCCACGCAGTTGATGCGTTGGACAAACACGGGGGCCATATCACATCCCGACAGGCGTTATCGGGAATGGACACCCATAACAAATGCCAACACTGCGGTGTGGCGGCAGACCTAGTTGCCTATTCACTCTGCACCCACCGAGATCCATGCCGCTCCCCTATTTGTGTTGTAGCATATAATTCTAGTCAGTGTGCGCTGTGTCCCAGAGGTCATGGAGGAGCGCCCAGGTGCGGGTTCCGCCGTGCCAGACACCTGCGGCGTTTCTCACTTCAGACCTTCTTGACTTGGTCATGGCGCCGGGCAGAGGATAATCGATGCCTTCTACGTGGTACGATCGCTGACGGAAAGTCACGGGTGAGTCCGCTCAGTCTGGCGGCCTGGATTGTTCGTTCCGCTTTAGATAATCCCAGGAGCAAGCGGACGGAACGAAGGACGGCGCTAGTAGCTCGGTAACTAGCGCGCTGCGAGGTGGACATTGCTGCACTCAGCGAGACCTGATTCTCTAAACAAGGCCAACTGGAGGAGGTAGATGCCGGTTATGCCCTCTTTCGGAGCAGTCGCCATAGAGCGGGGCGACGAGACGCGGGCATCGCTTTTGCCATCCGGAACGACATCGTGGGACGACCGCCCTGTCTGCCGAAGGGCATCAACGAACGCCTGATGAGCCCCCACCTGCTTTTCCGGGGAGGCAGATTCGCAACTATCGTCAACGTCTACGCTCCCCCGATGACCAGTTCTGACGAGGCGTGCAACAGATTATACGATGGCCTGTACACCCTCCTGGCGAATGTGTCGAAGTCGGACAAGTTGATTGTCCTCGGTGACTTCAGTGCCCACGTAGGCACAGACCACGCTGCCTGGAGAGGATTGCTGGGTCCCCATGATCTCGTCAGCCCCAATGACAATAGCCTGCTCCTCTTGCAAACCTGTGCGGAACATAGCCTCATCCTGACCAAACCCCCTCCGGCTACCGATGCGATGTGCATTACCGACCGACAAGGTAGGCGTAGTGGATTTGTTTATAATGCAGCGAACTGGCTCTGTACTTACCTTACTTCACTCTCCGTGCCCATCATCATCATCATCATCATCATCATCATCATCATCATCATCATCATCATCATCATCAGCATCATCATCATCATCATCATCATCATCATCATCATCATCATCCGAAAACAAGACAGGATGAAGACGACCGGAGATGGGCGTGGGAGCAGCGACCGAGAGAGTTAAACAGACCGCTTGATCACGCCAACTTCACGCATACCAAAATTCAGTGGAGTTTCAGATACAAGAGGACTGAAAGCTATCAAAATGGTCATGCTGAGGAACCCTTGCAGTCCGGCCATCGTCCTAGAGGAGGGCGAGTTAGTGTGTATGCTGACAACCTTCGAAACCACAGCTTATCGCGTCAGACTTAAAGTGAGAAACACGCCAAAATGCCTCCATATCAGTCTTACTCCTCCCTCCTTCTCCCTCGTGTCAGTAGTTTGTTTGAATATGTCGGTCGAGCAGCGATGAGATACGACGTAGTAACACGAGGGGGGTCTCCGTCCAGCGCGTGTGACATGTATATACGACTGTAGGTGAAGACGCACATGGACGCAGCGCAGTCTAACGCATGACCCAAGTTATGATCCAACAGGGCGGTGGTGCAGGTCGTTTGGGAGGGAGCACACAACAGTTTGGCCATAGAGAGCGATGGGAACAAATGTGCTAAGGAGATGGTGCAGAGGTCACCCTTGTATGTAAATGGAACAAGCAAAATTTCGGCTTATTTTTGCCACTTTGGGCCTTTATGCACCGGTCAGGTGGCGACAAACGGCAGTGCATTAAACATTCGTGTCTTATTAATAAGGGTTGGATACCTAGACATTCAGGGTTAGAATATCCAAGGAGGATACGAGTGAAATGCCCCGATTAGGTTATGAAGAAAGAAGTTCAGTAAAAAGGCTTACACTCAACCAGAGAGCTTGTCTTCGCGCCCTCTTCCGGTTCGGGTATGTTTAGTCAATGACTGAAAAACGATAATTGTACGACGCCCCACTTCCCTCAGGTCAAAGTGCATAGAAAAACAAAAGGGCGACCTGAAAATAGCATGTTTAAGGCGAGTGCAAATCACCCATGAACTAATCCGCGTAGCAAGCCAACCGCCAGGCACGACATTCCAAGCCAAATGCTACGCCACTTCGGTCCAGTGAACTCCAACCAGCACGATTCTTACACTCCTGCGGCGTCTGTAACACAAACGCGGAGTAAAACGGAGAGGAAATCTGATGCAGCAGCCGCAACCCCCCGAGTCCACGCATGCTGCTCACAACTACTACCTGAGTCGCTTTGATGTCTACAGCGAACCCACGCCCGAACTTGTTATACCTATCTGACGCTCAACTGAATTAAAAACCCTCTCTGCTAATGGCTATCGCCGAACAACGGCAACACCACCAACTATCGAACGGAAACAAACTTCGGCGACATGCATTGTCGGCTGGATAGTGTCCTGTCCAAGGCCTCTACACGCGCTTCAACTTCAAAATATCCCCCCACCATCCAAGCCCCAAACGCGATTCAACGAGGACGGTCAATATCATAAGTGACAGCCAAATTACCGGGCAGTGCCGAACGAGCTCGAAAATTAGGTTTGTAAAGCCATGACCGTCCATAAGTCAGTTTAGAACGACTTGGTCCAGCAATGAAATAACAGGTACTGCTGTGCAACCCTCGCAAATGCCCATTCGAATAATTATCCAAACTTGCCTATTTCGGGGTTATTTGTTCTCATCCTAGGGGAACTGATTTTGTATCGGATTTTCAGCCACTTGAAGATGAAAATCACAAATGCTTATTTTCAGCCAGCTAGTACCATATGACTATCGCCCGACGATAGGGTTTCTGACATGGAATTTCATAGAAAATGGATAAATTCGTGGTTAGGATTATTACTCTTGCTACTCATGAAGATCAGATAAATTTTCTAAACAGTACCATGATAAGGGGCAACTCTGCTTGCAAGTTGAGTCTTCATGTGTTAGTTTAAAATGGTAGGCAAAATAGACGAAAATATTAAGCGAAATTGCAAAAAAGAAGGAAATTATGACCTCACTTTCAAACTTTTCCTGCGCCTTGCGATATTTCCGGTAAAGAAAAATAGCACAAGGACATCAACACGAAGGAAGTTTGTCAGTCGACAGTGAAAAACTTCCTCTAAATATCTGTACCAGAGGGGTTTGCCCTCGTTTCTATAACCTTCAGTGCTTAAGTGTCTCCCTAGTGGGATGCTGACTTTATTGTGTCAAGTGAAACGGCAGTTGGCGAAAGCAGGAAACCACATAAGATAGAAACCGGCAAGTTTGTGCGCTTACTTGCTTATCAAAATGCCCGCACAAATTAAGGGCGCCCCAAATCTGTGTCAGTTTACTGAGCATGGTTTTCAAGCTGCCCTTTCCAAAAACGCCGATACTCGTCTGTCGGTACTATTCAGGCAGAGCAAACTGGTGATAAAGGATCACTAACATGAGAAAACCACATCGTATCTGATGCCTTACGTTTGAGGCCACGCTTATCCTAATATATTGATTACTTCAAAGGATTTGTAATGTTAGAGGTAATTTCGCAAATGAAAAGGGCAAGTTGAGGTAATCCGAAACTTTGGAGGAGACCCCTTTTACAGACTCATCCTCCTCAAAATGCGCAGAGGTGCAAAAGTAGGTCTAAAACACAAAATTCGCCTGAAGATCACACTCCCGTGGCCACTCTTGTCCGATGGTCGTACCATTTGAAGGCGCAATCTGATGAGCGTAGATAAAGTCGATGAGGTGTTGCTTGTCGATTTCTGATAGGCCGCCAAGCACAGCCAATCCTCCAACACCAAAATATAGGAGAGTGAGCCTACAGAGGCTAGGAAGGAGGGCTTGCCTCTACATACCTCGAAACATCCATGCTTAGCAAGTGCCCAGGTAGGATCCCCGTCGTAGCAGCAAAGTATCTAAGCAACCTCGTCCGCATAGGCTGCGATAGAATGCCCGAAGGTTTGGTTAAGCTAGCCTAAAAGAAAGAAGCAGAATGATTTTTGTGGGAAAATGTAAAGATGATAGTACGAAACGTGTCATTGGTGTGTACAATAGTTGGTTTCATCGGTTGATGATGATGATGATGATGATGATGATGATGATGATGATGATGATGATGATGGAGGAGGAGGAGGAGGAGGAGGATGGAAGAGGAGGGTGCACATGCAAGACAGTTCGCGGAGCCTACAGTGGCCACGCGAAAAACGCAACTTGGCGATAATCAGATTAACTATTAGGGGTTGTGCCGGCGCCACTGACACAAACATTTTGCGTTCGCAATCGCAGGATGTCATCGCTGGTAGTCGTAGGTCAATATAGACAAATGTGCTAGAAGGTGCGTAAACACAAACAGGCATATACAAAAGCATTGATAATTGCGACCTTGGAGTAGGTCACTGGGGAATTCTGCGGGACCCACTGAAGAGCAGAACCCCTCGCAGCTGTGGCGTGCAGCGGCAGAATATCGGCAAAACACGCGTATGTGGGTTTTTAACGATTACCTGTGCTGCTGGTATGGTAGCTTGTAACCCTAAAACAAGCAGACATATACAAAAGCATGGATAACACGCAACAACTCGTATTAGAGCTTCCCGCCGACTCTTTGTCTAAAGTCCGACTGTCCAAGTCGGACAAATGAGCGCTCCAGCAGGCACAGTATTGCGATCGAAATCACCGGAAAGCGAACGATAACGAGGCAACCCATCCTTCATTTCCTCCATGAAATTAGGCCCTCCATCCATTCCAGCAGCATTAAAAATTTCAAGTGGAAATCGAAATATGCACATTGGCAAGGATAACTCAACAAAACACCAAGTACTGACAAATTTACAACCACTAATTGGCTCAAATACAACAGATAAATACTCAGTTTTATTAAAGATAATAGGTTTGCTGGAGATTGCAATAAACGAAACGCGCAAAGCATGGCTCTCTAATGTTGCTGAATGTACGCGCAGACGATGCAGGAAGCGGGCATTGATCGGACAAGACGCTTATAATAACTCCATGGATCATGCAAAAGGCATTATCGAAAAAAAAAGTCCGGCGTTCATAAATGTCGAGGCAGCGAGGTGGTTCATGGCCTTCGTTGGGATCGTACGACTGTTTTGCTTTGGCGGTAAATTTTTCCCTATGAAATTTACTGAAAAAACGTTCAGCGGCTAATCCCAATCGATATAACGTTAAGTCCCTAGCCAACTGGATAGCCAAGCGATAATCTAGTATCTGCCTGAGAGTCTGAATTGCCCGATGACTTAAACAACCGTAAAATGGCAAGTTTTGAATCATGGAGCTTGTCAAACCAATAATCAGCATACAGGACACATTGATTACTTGCACAGTCCGCGAGCAATTCAGATTACTCAATAATTGGAGCACTCAACGCGAATTCGTGGATCGGCGGTTCAAATGCATTCTGGAAAACATGCTTTCCCGCTATGTGAGCTTCCCTTTCCCTGCAATAAATTTATTCCGCCGTGTAACCGCGTGTCGAAATGCGGAGATCATTTCGTTGGGCTGCTCAGTTTATCATGTCTGACTGGCATCGCCCGGACCTCGTAGCTGCTTCAACGGTGTTTACTTGCAACTAACGGTGTGTTGCCTTTCAATAAGATAATGAGTTTGCCCCTTCGCAAATGACGAGGAACATCACTGTGCCAGACGCTGCTGCTGTGCTTTGCACACGAAGTTACTTTGAGTGGTTCTGGTTTTTGACGCATTTACCTCGCTCTCCCCATCAATGATAAGAGTGGGTCAAAACGAATGGACAAAAGCATAAGCATAGTTTCTGGCAAGGTTTAAGACGAGCCTACGCAATGATCCCTAATTTCACGTGAAAACATCTGCAGTGAGGGATCTGGGTTCCCAAAAATGGATGCCGGAGCAGCGCAGTCTCACCACCACCATTGCCTGGTAACTTTTCCAACCGCGACTGTTTATGCACAGTGAGAGTTCAAAGGTGTTTTGGTTGTTTACGAAGGAAAATCGGAAGCTCAAATTCAGTTGAGAAGGTTTCGCTCATTTTTCTCTTCCATAGTGGCAGCATATCAGAGTCGATTCGGCTGTAGATGAGATTACACTGCCAATAACTGAAACGCCAATCAAAAATTCTGAAAGCATGGAGTCCCAAATGAAGATTGATCGCCAACAATACCTGAGTAGCTCGAATGATTTTTGGCGGCCGTTACACAGACAAGGTCCACGCCACAGGAGTAGAGATAGGATACTATACCGACCTTTAGAACGAGAGACGAAACCAAAATATCGCTGCATGGGGCGATGTATCTTGCTGCATTGTTGCGGAGGAACCTGTCAGGGTCCTCAATCCTCTCGGGTCTCGCAAAGTGGAAGGTGGGTTTTTTGCCTACGCAGAAGCGATGTCTGCCAGGTTCTTAACTTTGTGCGGATCCTGGATTAGTACAAGGCGATGATCAGCTTCAGGAATTTTGTGGACGCATCCAACCTCACTGGCAGAGGCTCGCTATGGAGGACGTTCGGTCTTGGTATTTGCTCCACTTTGGTCATTCTGCGTTGCCGAAAAGCAACTTCAGAAGAAAATAATGTGCGGCTTACAACTTGCACTGAGGCCTTTTATTATTTTCATTAGTGCTCCTGATCCACCAACGGAATTCTACAGAATACAAATGTCCGAGCCCATGAGGCAACAGTCAAAGGCATCTTTTTTGCGGTTATGGAGGCTGGCCTCTGCGCCACCGATTGGTTCTTTGACTTCAGCTGAAAGGCACGTCTCGGGCGTGGAGCTTTATATTCTCCTGTTGACAGAGCGAAAAGAGGTTACCTGCGATAACCTGGTCGCTCCTACTGTCAGCGCGAAGGGAATTAGTTCATAACGTCACCTTACAAAGACTTATTGAAAAGTCAATTGGCTAACATATGTTTTCGGTAATTCCTCATCAGGCCTGTACATTTACAAGGGAAATGATCAGTCTAATTGTCGACGGGGTATAAATGCGTCTCGGGGGCAGGTTTAATCGGACTCCATGTTCCTGCGCCACCCGCATGATGGAGTCAGCCTGTTGAGGACGATGGAGTTGGGGTGGGAGGGGCGGCCAACAGAAAAACATTGATGGATGTGGTTTATCCATACGCAAGGAAAGCGACCCGTCCGACTGTATTCACCTAGGTAATAGCTGCTGTGTTCGACAGCAGGATACAAAAGCGTGATGGTTCACGCTGCAGTACATAAGGTTGCCGATATAAGTACAAGCAAACTGAACTTTGAACTATCCGAACGATTACGTGTTGTGTATTCCCGGTGAAATAATAGGCTGAAGTGGTCATTTCAGACTGGGCTGCCGTCATCAGGCAACCATATCTCGAGCACGGGTTAAAAACACCAGACATTACAATTTGTGGCCGTCTGAGAAAACGCTAAACGGGAATTCCAAGGTAAGGTGAAATGT